TGCAGGGACGAGGCATAGCTCAGTGCCTAGTGAGTGGGGAGAGATCTCTGCAGAAACCCTGCAAAATGTGGGGCTTTTCGGACCACTTGGAACTGAAATGTATACCGTTTTGCATTCCCAGATTGGTTTGTCAAGTGCTGTAAGGCTTGGGTGAATAAAAACAGGGCTCTGATGAGGACCCTGGCAAAGGACGGTAAGACCTCCATTGTTTGGCGATCTCACACAGGTGAGCTATACGACCAAAATGGCCTCTGAGCAGAGTCTACAATGACACAAACCCTAGGCCTCAAGGCTCATCGTCTGAATTCAGAAGAGCACGCCCCTCGGTAAAGATTCTTTACTCTTGCTTCAGGACCAAGGCTAAGGAACTTGGTCGTTTGATTTCCTGGTATGGTAGATTGATTTAAAAATGAGTCTATTTCTCCAGCCCTTGAATCTGGTCTGGGCTTGTGACATGTGTTGACCGATAAAAGACAACAGAAGTGCCAGAGTGCCAGTTCCAAGCCTCAAGAGGCTTTGCCTGCTTGTACCCTCTCTCCCGGAATTCTACTATTCCCACGTGAGCAAGGTCAAACTCGCCGGAGGATGAGAGACTATGTGAGGGAGAGCCCAGTATCCCAGCCGAGGTCATGCTAAACCACCTGGAGCCAAGCGCGTGAGAGAGCCCAGCCAAGAGCACAGAGCTGTCTGTGGCTGCACATGGATACCAGCCCGAGCCCAGGGGAGCCAGCTGGCACATAATCACGCGAACCATAGCAAATGCCTGCTGTTAGAAGCCACTAGGGTTTGAGTTCGCTTGTTACTCAGCGATATCTAACAGAAACACCTGGTCTGCCTGCAGACTGTTGACCAGGAACAAGAAAACAAACCAACAATCAAATAGCTAAAAAGCAGAAACACAGACTCGAAGGTTGTAATGGTCTGAGGCTCTTTAGGGAAAGAGAAGCAGTTTGTGGCACTTCATAAGACGCTGGTCATTGGCAGTTGCAAAGCGCAGTATAAAAGTCATCCAGGAAAATTTAACTGAAATATAGTATCCTTTCTTTAAGAAGGCAAGTGCATGAACCATACCTAAGAAAGATTCTCGTTTGGGGGCCCCTGGGTGGTGCAGTCAGTTGGCTATGCAACTCTTGGTTTGTTTGGTTCAGGTAGTGATCTCAGGGTGGTGAGACTGAGGCCTGTGTCGGGCTCCGTGCACAGCGCAGAGTCTGCTTGGAGCTTCTGTCTCCCTTTCTCTCTGCCCCTCCCCCTTTCTCTCTCTCTCTACTAAATAAATCAATCTTAAAAAAAAAAAGGAAAGGAAAAGATTTTCATTTAAAATACTTAAGATAACAGGCTTAAGGTGTTAAACACTGTTTATCCGGGAGATTCATTTGTGTGTGCGGGGACCATACTACCTGAAGCAAAAATCGGGGGTACCTGGGTGGCTCAGTTGGTTAGGTGAATGCCTTTGGCTAAGGTCATGATCCCAGAGTCCCAGGATTGAGTCCCGCATTGGGCTCCCTGCTCAGCAGGAAATCTGCTTCTGCCTCTGACCCTCCCCCCATTATGCTCTCTCTTTCTCTCTCAAATAAATAAATAAATAAAATCTTAAAAAAAAATCAGGTAGCATCTTAGAACTTTTTGTTGCTTCCAGGTGCAAAAGGCAGCATATGCTGGGAAGTGGAGTTTGGTTGTCATGATGTTGGCCCTTAGCCACTCATGGTGACAATGGGACAGTGCGGTTGAAACCAGGATGACCCCAGAAGATCTGCACAGAAGAACCAAACTCTTCCCATATGGCCTTTCCTTCCTCACAGGTGCCAGAATAGCGGTGCCATAGGAGGCAGCCGGGGCAGAAACACAGATGTGGGCTGCAGGGCCAGCCTTCCTGGGCAGCCTGTGGTCAGCAGATGGAAGAAACAGGGTGGAAGAGTTGCATTTGCAGAAAGCCGCTGTCTGCAAGACACGCTTCACTTCGTGGCTTGCCCTTTATGGCTTCCTCTGAACACCATACACCCAGTTCTTTCTGTTCCACGTACCTGAAGTCCGCTCCTTTCCAAGACACCATTAAGCACCACAGGGTGCTTAATGATAAATAAATCATTAAAAATGATAAAAATAATGGTTCGTATTTATTGCCTGTGTAATACATGCCAAGGACTGGATGAACTCATTAACCCTGTACGTTAGTGCTACTGCTCTCTCTCCTTTAAAGAAACAGAACAGAGGCACAGAGAGAGAAAGCAGCCTGCCTAAGGTTGCACAGTTAGAAAATGGGCAGAGGCAGGACCCCAGCCCTGACGCCTGGCTCCACACCCATCCCCTGATTCGTCCTGCTGGGCTCCTTCAGTAGGCAAGTGTCCCTATTCCCTTCCCGGCTGGGTGTGCTCACAACCTTTGACCACAGCCCTGACCCAACCCATCACCAGCCCTGGAGCCTCTCCCCAGCATCAGTTCCCAGGGAACTTTGTGGCACGCACCTGTTCTCTGGGGGATGAGGTCCTTCGCCTGGTGGCTGATTAACACCCATCACCTGCCTCAGGCCCAGGGAGAGCAGCGCCGGCTCCTGGATGTGTGTGCCCACCTGAGACAGCTCAGCTTTCAGCTTCGGTGAGCAGAGCAGTCGCACCCAGGGCCAGCTGCCAGCGCCCCCTCCCAGTCCCCGCCCCCGCCGCTGCTGACAGCCCGAGGCTCCAGACTGCTTTATCTCCTGCTCACACCCGTCTCCTCTCCCTCCTCCTCTCTATCTGGGAGTTTCCTCGTGGTTCTAATGAAAAACCCTTGTGTCACATTGAAAAGTTGCCAGTTACTGCTGCTGGGAATAAAATCCGGTCTCTGCTGGGCGGAGACTCCGGAAGCTTCGAGCTGGGAGTGAGGACAGGCTGGTTGGAATCATCTCTCCAGTCAGGCATAATGAGATGCTGCCAGGTGGGGCCTCCCCGACAGCGCTAAACAAACAAACACCAGGCCCTGCCAGGCTCCCTGCCCCACCTGGACCACCTCCGGCCCCGCCTCAGCCCCGCACACCTGCCAGGAGTCAGTGGGCTTCCCTCAGGTTGACTGGTTCAGGTTCTTTCCCCACGTCCCCCAGAGATCAGACAAAGCAGGGTGCCCCTTCTTCTGTGAGCTCTCGGGTCACACAGCTCAGGGCTGAGCACAGAGCCTCAGGGCTACACAGTGGCTTCCCCAAGGAGACCTGGTCAGTGCACCTGCAGATTATTCAAAATGCAGGCTCCTCTGGATCTACCTGGAGTCACTGAATCCAAATCCCTGCAGCTAGGGTTTGGGAAACCCCATTCTGAACCCCTCCCTGCCTGGACAGTCCTGCTCAAAACCACTGGACCCAACTGAACTGACCCAAGGGAAGATGCTTCCCCCCCGTCTCCCCCAAACCACCGCCACACACATGCTCTCCTAGGACTGCGAAGTCTCATGTGCCCTTCAAAGGCCAGGTGTGACTTGCACTGATCCTCCCAGCACATGGGGACAGTCATTCCTGTCCCTCTTTCACAGAGACGGAAGCTCAGAGCCCCTTACAGGCTACGGCACCAACGCACGCAATGTCACCCCACCACCTCCCTCATGGCCACTCTCTGGGACAAAGGCAACCACAGTGAGATCAGAAAGCAATTTTAGAGGCTGGTACTTGGGGAGACCCCCAACATGAGAGTTGGGTGGGGCAGTGGCTCTGTGGCTAGCAGAGTCAGCGACAGACCTGACTCCACAGAAATCCACGTCCAAGTGCAAGCTGAGCTCCAGCCTCTGGCCACCTTGCAGAACGCTTTCTTTGGAGAAAATGGGAATCTCAGTGATTCTCACAAGGGGCAATTCTGCCTCCCTCCTGGCTCTGCCCTGGGAACGTTGGATGATACCTGAAGAGATTTTTGGTTCTCATGATTGTGAGGTGGGCTTTGGCATCTAGTAAGTAGGTAGAAGTTGGGGAGGCTGCTAACTATCCTAAAATGCAGAGGACTGCCCAGGATGTCAATAGCGACATTATCAGTGAGTCCCGGGATAGACGGAGATGCCCGCTCCAAGCCAGGGATGTCCTTGGTCCCCTGAACACAGAGTGTTCACTCAGCATTTTGGATTTGGGAGAGGAATTTTTCTTAGCCTCAATTTCTTGTTATTCATCTAGAAAGAGGAGGCAGATCAACCTAGAGGCCAGCAGAGAAAGGCTCACAGGTTGAACACACAGCCAGCCCTCTGTGTGAGCTGGGTTTAAAGGACCCACTTTACGCCAATATCCATTAAATGCTAAGACCCAGCTTAAAACCTTGATCCCTCAGATACTGGTCAATGCTTAAACAATAGCATATGGATGGACAATCGTTCGGTGTGAGACTGTCTGATCAGATTTATTCCATCACGGATTCCCCAGGGTGTCTCTCCTCTTCACCGAGGATTCGAAAAACAGACCATTTAGCTGACAAAATTGAGTTTCCCCTGCATTAACGGAGTGGGAGTGGAACCAGCTCCGGGTGCAGATTGTAGCACGAATGCTCCTGAGGAAGTCGGGCTGGAGGTGCCAAATATTTTCTTTACAGTTGATTTGATGCGGTTCTGGGGTTGATGGTGTGTGGAGGTGGAACGCCTCCTGACGGCTCGGCCCCCTTGGACGAGCACGGCCAACACCTCAAAGGGCACACATCATTTTCCTCACCCATAAAGGAATCTGGGCATTTTATAGCTGAAAAGGGACCCATTCCACTTGAATTAATCAAGAGGCTGAAGGTAAAAGTGCATCACGTAGCTTTTAAGGACATTCTTCCTGGATTGACAAGGTCCCATGGCCACCCCCTGGAAAGCTTCAACAATGGAATGTTTCTTGACATCACTCAAGGGAGGTCTGCTGTCTTAGCGGTACTTGCGTGGGGTCTGTGTTTTTTCACTCCTCAGTTTAAGAGATGACTATGGTCTGCCTCTTGGTGTAGTACATACTTGTTAGCCGTGACCCCATAACATTTCTCCTTTGTTAAATTAGAGGAAAACAGTAATATTATTGAGGGGAAACATACCTTTCAGCCACTTTGGACATTTTTAAACAATGTCTGTCAATCTGTGCATTCAAAAATGTTATCTGGGGAAAGATAGAACAAAGGTATTAAGATCAAACTTGGTTTTTTTCCCCTTCTCCCTATGAACCCAAACCTTGTATTTCCATCCATAACCAAACAGCTCTTCTGGCCAGCCTTTGCCAATGCTCCAGCTTTGCATTCCGATAATCATCGGCCCTTCTGGAAGTTCCCACCATACTCGGGAATCACACTCCACAATTTAGCCTATGCTAATATTCTGTACTGTGTTGTAGCCTAAGTCTTGACTCCCAAAAGTGATTGCAAGCTTAAAGGCAGTGGTAGATATCCTAGGAAGCTTAGGAGCACTTAGAGGCACTGTAAATATCTGGTTGGACTGATTTCCAGTGATTTCCCTCTGCACACCCTTCACAACTACATTACACCCACCATATGCTTGGTGTACTTGACTAGATCATCAAATAGCGACTTCACATACGTTTCCTCTTGCCCACCCCAAATAACCTTGTCAGGGGCGGGCAACTTTGGGTTTCCCCCTCAGAAGCCAGTAAAACATAACATAAAGACCCTGAAGTCACTTCATTGTCAGTGAACCCTAGAAAGGAGTCATGTAATTAGCCATTGTCTGCTGTCCCTGGTTGACCAGTTAGCTTCTCATCATGAAGGAAGGCAACATTGAACCAAATAAAGCTGAAGTGGCACAGAGAGTTGGGCTTTCTTTATTTGTAAACTTGCCTTTTGAATCACAGCAATAAGGTCAGTGGTTCTGAGCTGGCTTACTCTGCAAGTTCATTACAATCTTAAGGACTCTGTGATATCTGTCCCCCCCACCATCATCCCCCACAGCATTCTGTGGGAACCCCAAGGGACTGGGATCACTCCTCTACGTCCTTCTCTAATAACTGCTCAGGGGAACTCGGTGGAGATTTTGTCCTCTCGAGCTTCCGTGGGTTGCTCGCACACAGCACTCAGAGGTTCAAGTCATCCACAGCTGGGTTCCACTGTGGTTTCCAGGAACTCAAAGCTCACTCAGCCTTCAGAGATGAACATTCAAAGGGTTTTCAACCTGGCCACGTCTCCTCCTGGGAGTGCAGTAGTCAATTCATTCACCTGTTTCCGGATGTCCTCTTTTGTAGTTTTCCTGATTGGCTGACTGGGTATGTGCACGGGGCTTTGCGACTGGGACTCTTCTGTCACGCCATACACTGACTAGAGAAGAAGCAAGAAGATAGAATCATGCGTCCTCAGAGGGGCAGGGCACCTTAGGGGTGGGCACTGCAAGAGCTCTTTTGATGCTTCCAATCCCCTCTGTGATGTCCTGACAATAAGTGACCAGCCCCTGCCAATTTCTACAGTGAGGGGACCTCTTCCTCTTGAGGCAGCTTGTCCCATCTTAGGGCTACCACTGTTAGATGATCTTTCCTTTCACTAAGCAGCAACTGTCTTTCGACTATTAGCATGTCTCCAAATATGGCCCTAGACCATCTGCGAAGAATCATCTGGGGGTTCTTGGTAAAGATGCACATTGCTGAGCCCCAACCCCAGACCTCCTGAGTCTTTGTGGGCGGGGTGTGGGAGCCTGCACTTTTATCAAATGGCCCAGGTGATTCTGAGGCACAAGAAAGTTCAAGAACTGTTGAAAGTTATGCATGGAAGAGCTTCTCTAGATTTTCTGTTCCCCAGCAGATGACATGCTCCTCTGGTATAAACTGGAGAGGGTCGGGTTTCAGACTCTTTCCTTTTCAGCCAAACAGCTTATAGCCTCAGTTTCTCCCTATGCTATGGCTGCTTATTAAGCAGTTTCCTTGTGCTGGAGACAGAGGAAAGACAATCTTTGCTCTGGGAATGAAATGAAACCCCAAAGGCTACGCAATGTATAGCTGATATCTATAAAATCAAGAAGGGGTCAGATAAAGAGGATGTGAGCTCCATGAAATTTTGGAAGATTAGAATTAGGGGGCCCTTAAAAATTAAATGAGGATGTTTTAAGACTAACGTCATAAGGTCTAAAACCTACAAGGACATAACTCACCTCAGTAAAGAATAAAATATGTAAGTGGATTCAAAAAGTTGAAATATATGTCATGTTGTGTGTGTGTGTGTGTGTGTGTGTGTGTGTGAAAATGAGAGGATTGGCCATAACAAGAAACAGCAATGCCTGGGGGTACAACTCTAGCTTCTTGAAATTAATATCATGGGGGACAGATATGTCCTCCGACGATACAGCCCTTGGTGCCATGGTGAAGTTGGGGTATACCAGTCGTGGGGCAGGCTGAGGGGGGCAGCCTCAAGTATGTTATGGCCACTGCCACTTCCAGGAGAGTGAAATACGGATAAATGATGGTTGGCCCATTCACAGTTGAGTACGATGGTGATTTGAATTTGGATGATCTAGGTACATAAAAGACTTTCAAAGTACTAAGCTCACCTTCACCTGTGGGACTTGGATACTTTTTGTTCCTTTAGTTTCTTTTCCTTCCCAGAGCCAATCGCTACTCACCCTCCACACCTCAACACACTTGAGCCTGCTTTGGAAGCCCTAAGGAGCCCCGGGTCTGGTGTCCCCTCCTGGCTCCCTGGCACCATCCAGCATTTCCCTGCCACAGCCCTCCTGACAGCCTGGGGGTTTGCCCCCTTCCCCCGCACCCTCTCTCCCAGGCTGTGGGTATTGTGACGACTTGTGTCACCGTATTTCAGCAGCAAGAAGGGCGTCAAGTACACACCAGCCACTCCACAAATATTTGTAGAATGAATGAATGGAATGGTTTCAAAGGACAAAATGGGGTAGAATTAACAAATAGCAAACGACTGTTTGAACAGTACCAGAAACAGAAGGGCTATTTGCATCAGGAATTTTTAATTTAGTTAAACTAGCGAACCTTTTTAACCTTTTGTGGGTTCTTCAGACGTCGGCATTTCCTGATATCCATTTCTGTTGTGTTCACACAGCCTGGCTGAGAAAAAAAAAATCATATAAATTACCAAGTGAAAAGCACACCTTCCATCGTGACCCAAGCGACACCATCAGACCCAGTCTTTGTCTTTCCCATTACAGGTATTACATGATTAACTCCACTTGGCTGTTTACAGTTCCTTTTACAAAGATGTTTCGTCTTCAGCATGTGTTCCTGCACGGAGGCCCCATATTAAATATCAAAGCCTACCCCTCACTATCTAGGGGTGACAATGCAGAGGGTAGAGTGAAGAGTTTATAAGCATAAACGTCCTTTTTTTTTTTTTTTAAAGATTTTTATTTTTTTGCCAGAGAGAGAGAGAGTGAGAGAGGGAGCGCAAGTGGGGGGAAGAGAAGAAGCAGGCTCCCCGATGAGCAAAGAGCCCGATGCAGGACTTGATCCCAGGACTCTGGGATCATGACCTGAGCCAAAGGCAGATGCTTAACCGACTGTGTCCCCAGAGTAAACTTCTTATTCAGAGTGGCCAGATCATTTCAACCACAGCCTTTGTTACTAAACATTATCTGACCATCTACAACAATCCAATATCATGATGGGGAAATACTTTCTGTGTTTTGCTTTTAACCAGCTTTTAGACATAGTTTGAGGACATAGTTTCCTCATTCCAGCTCCATTTCATGAGGAAAATGAAAGATTTGTCTTAATCATAGGAAATTAGAAATACAATCGCACCTCATTATGCATGGATTTTGTATTTGTGAATTCACCTACGAGCTAAACTTTATTCATAACCCCCCAAGTCCCTCTTTGTGCTGCCTTCATGATCATTTGTGGACACAGACAGAGCAGCAAAGGCTGTGAGCAGCCCAATGTGTGCGTTCCCGGTGACGCAAAGGTGAGGTTTTGCCTTTCTGTTTCATCTCTTACTGTGAACAAATGTTCTTTTGATGATCTATTTAGGACCACCTTTTCCACATTTCTGTGCTTTTTCTTGGTGATTTTGCTGTTTAACACAGCCCCAGAGCACAGTGTGATGTGACCTCTTGTGTTCCTACTCGCTAGAGGGCCGTGGGGTGTGTGACAGGGAACACAGGTGTGTCAGAGGACACTGGTGGTCCCAAATTCAGTATTCATGAATCAACAACATACATTAAATAAGACGTCTTTAAGCAGAAGCAGGCTATGGACATGGTTACCTACCGATCAACTGAAGAAAAGATTGGGACCAGAGGAACCAAACCCTGCACGTCTCCCAGGATAGTAGCTCAGCCCTGGCTAATTCAGCGTGCACGGTTATTTTGTAGAACGTTACTACCGTGAATATTGACAATGGACCGCACTTGAGGAAGATTATTCTAAGATATAGAGTTGAATGACAGCAGAAATGGAAACTGCTTGTTCAAAGCGGGGGAGGGAGAAACATCTATCATGCAAATGGATGTCAAAAGAAAGCTGGAGTTAGCTGTACTTATATCAGACTTAAAAACCAGAGACAAACGAGAGGTGAAGAAGGGCACCGTATCATAATAAGGGGACAATCCAACAGGAAGTTCTAACAACTGAAAATATTGATGCACCCAATTTGGGAGCACCCAAATATACTAAAAAAACCCCCCAAAAAACAAAAAACAAAAAAACCCCCAAAACTCAGAAACTGCTTATTTTGGGGCTGTAAACTTCTGGGGCCCAGAGGTCCTAGGGGAGTTCCTACAGTTCTCCTGTTCCAAGTCTGTATTTCACGGATGAATAACTCTTAAAAGCTGAAACTGACATACATTCCAGACAACCCACCAAGATTATATTGACGGAATGGCAAAACCAATTTCACAAAGTTCAGCAATGCTCTTTAATTTTAAGAATGAGACACCTGGTGGCTAAAGATAGTCTTTTCTTTCAAGTGAAGGAAGAGGGAAACAAAACAAAAACACAGAGAAGCAAGGGGAGCTTTCTCACCACTGGCCTGTGCACATCCCAAAAGGCCCGTTCTTGACTATCCAAAATTTTCCTTTCCGTCTTGTCCTTTTTCCGATCTATCCTGGAAGAGCAAAGAAAGGAGATCAGAGGCTCCTGTTTCTAGAGGCTTAGTGCACACGGGGCTCTTGGCATCTGTGCGGTCCCTGCTCTCTGAAGGGCTGTGACATAGGGGCGGACCCTTCCCTCAAAGGAACCTCCAGAAGTCCACATGTGGGATGAGTATTTTTCTTAGGCTGGACTGCAAGTCATCACAGATGTGGACTGAATGTGGTGGGCCTAAGGAGAGAACCAGAATCCAACTGTCCAAGTGAATGATTAAGATTGAGATTATTCAGAATTGAATTATCCCTGGACACACACCCCCCATCAAAGTGGATACTGCGTATTCAAATTATAGGAAAGAATATAACCATAGGCCTGCCGTGTTTTATCCTCAAGTTTGAGAATTTGCTTTAGATTCAGAGTCAATAGAAATGTCTTCAAAATACTGCAATTGCATGTTTTAAAAGTCACTTAAAGCCTCTAGCTTTCTAAAAGCAGAGTATTAGCCCTAGCATGTGACAAGAGCCAGAAGGCAAATACGGCTGGCTTCAGCTGGGGGAGGCACAAATTGCAGGAGGGAAATTACAGGTGACAAAGACAGATTCATTATGTTCTGATCAGTAAATAGATAAGAGGTTTTTTTTTTTTTCTTTTAAGCCTGTATTACATCATATTACCTCTCTAAGTAAAAAGTAACAGATTAATTGTTGTATAACTTCTGGTTCTTGGCTCTCTTGGGAGCACTTTAGTTTACAGCCCTGAAATAAACCATAATCACCCTGAGATTTCTGTGATAATTACCGTGTACTTCAATGGCCCACAATTATAGTATAATCACGGACTTAATCAAAAAAGTTAATTGAGAAATACCGTATATGTACAAAGTAACAATTTCCCCGCCTTTTTCAACATGCGATGCTGGGTGATCCTTAATGTGCAAATTAGCTCTCCCCTTTGCTTTGCAGTGGCTTCTGAGTACACAGGTTGGATTCTGCCTCCTCCCCCCTTAACCCTGCTCCCACTTTCTCTTTCCTCGGGGGCCACAGCTCCTCCAGCTCAGCTCAGCATCCAGTGCCCACTTCACTCCTGGCTACTTGGCAACACCAGGTAAGCTCTGTAGGCGTGTGGAATCGTGGGCTGAGGGGAAAGGTAGAGACTGCAGAGGGATGGGGAGGGCCATGGTACCATGCCAGCCACTGGACCCGAAGTCCTTGGGTCATTTCCATCTACGACCACACACCTGTGATGGATGCCCAACCGTATGGCCTGAGACCCAGCCCTGGGTGATGGACTGCAAAGCTACCCACCGAGTGCAGAGGGGTCCTGCTCAGGGACAAGTGGCATCCAGAGAAAAGATGCTCACCTTTGCCTAGCTCAGTGTCCTTTTCTGATCCCCTCCTCTGCCCCATTTCTTCTGTGAACACTTCTGGCTAAATCAGAGATCATTGCTGGAGAGGGCGAAAGAGAACCCAACCTGAGCTAGTTCTTTTCCTAGAATTGAAAGGACCTGGTTGACAACCATGCTTGTGGACAGGGGGCCATGTATGGGCCACTTCTCATGTTTCCTTAGGGAGGTAGGAATTTCCAGTATACTCCCTGGGAGGGAAAAGTATGGGGGAAACACCCCAGCTAGTCTTTCATCTCTTATACTCCAGGGGAGAAAAAGGGCCTTCACTTTGTTGGTGGATCTGAAAGAAGGAATTGAGGAAGCTCAGGTCCGTCCTTTCTGGGTCCTGTGCGTGGGCCAGCCTGTTCTTGGGACACCTGCCCCCTACATGCAGTGAACTTACAGGGCTCACATCTGCCCTGGGCTATAGGGTTCTCAGATATTTAGGTCTGCTCAGCATGGGCAAGTTGAATTCCAGGGTAAAGATCTGTGGTCACAGATCCAAAGTCATGCCCTAGAACCTGGATTTTATCAGCAATAATCATAACACACTGGACTCTAACGTCCAACTTCTGTGCCTTATTTCTGATGTTCTCAACCCCTCCTCTGGGGGCAAAGGGAGAGGGACTGGCCTCCCTAAAGCTCCAGCACGTTTTCCTATGCAGAGAGAATCTGCAGAAAAGTGGGTCTGATGTTTTTTCAGCCCCTGAGCCCAGAAGAATACTTGGAAATCTCTTTAGGAAATAGAAACTTCTTCTAACCAGATTTCTACGTTGGGGAGCAAGCCCATTGCCTGCTAAGACACATGCTTTTGAAGTTATTTCAGAGTGCCATTGATTACAAAGATGAAACTTATCCATCTTGACCTTGATTTCTACTCTGCTGCTCTCATGCAAGACGACAGAATTTGACCAGCCGTGGCTGGCCGGCCGTGGAAGGAAACCACTCTCACACCACCTCCACATTCCCGACAGTCTTTCTCTCTTTTCCAGGGTCTCTGTCAAGTTCACCTACTTCACTTGCGCTTCTGCTTGCATAAAGATGAATTCCCACTTCCTTGCAAAGGCCCTCTGGAGTCTTGCTAAGTTTTCCTAATGAGAAATCAAAATCAACGAGAAGGCATTAATCCTTGTAAGTCTGCACATCGACACCTATGCTTATTACAAGGCGGTCATCTATTTTGGTTACTCCCAGCAGAATAGCAGCACCCCACTTTAAATCCACTGGATATGAACCCAGTGTGATTCGGCCCCAGACCCTGCTGTACAGAGCAGAACTATTAATATTCATTTACACACCCATTAAATCTGAAATCTCTGTGGTTCACCTGATTCCTCTTTTCTCGTGTGTTTTACACGAACGCAACTCACATGGCGCTTGTCATCACCACCACGCAAGAAAGGGAGAAGGGTTTGTGGCTATTCATGTGGGATTTGGGGAAGGGATGAGGGCTGGGGTGCTTTTTGCAGCCTATTGGACATCTCCAAGAGCAAAAGCAAGAAGGGATTTCTCAAGATGCATCTTCCAGCAAACTGGGGCCCAGGAGGGCGGCAGGAAAGAGAAACACAGATGACCTGGCATTCGTGCCTTTGAAAGTTGGATTCAAAAGCAGGAGAAAAGGGAAAGTCTATATTTGTGATGCTCATGAAAGGAAAACCCAAAAACAGAAAGAAAGAAAGGGCATCCAGGGTTGCCTTTAGAGGAAGAGGGGAAAAGCTTTTCTCTAAGTCTGTAGTCTTACCTGATGGCACAATGGGACAGTGAGGGGGGTGTTTGACAGGTCCCCTAATGATCCACCTAATTCTGATGGAATGCAAGTCCAGAGCCCACATTATGCTATGTATTTTCATAGAGCTCATGCCAGCACTAATTGATTACCCTCATTAGTGGATTATTAATATAAAAGGAGCTTCAGTTGAAGATCAACCCACATAAACTCAGTTATTATCAAGGCTCAGTGTATGAGTACCTAAAAAAAAAACCCTGTTCCTATCATTCTTCTATTGTTCATGGGAAGCTGAGTTGGTGATGCCTACGTATCAGTCAATTAGGGAGCAGTTACATAAATTATGAACAGATATGCCATGGAATATTAGGCAGCCATCAAAACCAATAATGTAGATTATTATTACTGACATGGAAAGATTCTCAATATGCTTACAGCATATGATCAGGGAAAGAAGCAGCTTACAAAGTAATGTTCAGGCTATGATTCAAGGTTTTTTTTTTTTTTGTTTGTTTTGTTTTGTTTTTGTAAAGGAAAAAAAATGTATGTACCGAAGAAATGTTAAGGGAGAAGGATTACAGGCTTTCTCCTCTCTTTTCTTTGCTGTTTGAATTTTTAAAAATTTTTTTTATTTTTTTATAAACATATAATGTATTATTAGCCCCAGGGGTACAGGTCTGTGAATCGCCAGGTTGAATTTTTTTTTTTACAAAGAGACTATGTCGTCAGAAAAAAATTAATAAAATTACTGAATTTTGAAAACAAAATACTTTTAAATTTTCTAACCCACTTTTAGGCAGAGGTCAACTTCAAAGAACATCTTGATGCCGTATTCTTTACAAACACCAAAGCGGAACAGTATAGGGCAAGAGAGAAGAAAATGGAATAAAATCTATCTGGAGTTGATGCTATCTTTTCTAAAAGATAGGACCTTTTCTAAAACATGGAAAATGTGGGGAAGAGAGACAGTGGGGACAGGCCACATGCAGGCTGGGTCTTTCGGATGGGTCACACTAGGGGAGGGATGTAGCACCTTGTACGGGGTACACAGAGGTAGGAGAGTGGATTCTGAATGAGGGGCGATGGCTGGTAAGTGAGGGCTGATGGGGATAGGAACTAGGTGTCCAGATACTCAGATTCACTGAACAGCCATGCTAGGGTTTGCTTGGGAAGATCATAGTTTTCCAACATATTTATGTGTAATGGCTCCCATTGATAAGCACACTTTGGCCAGGTCCTGAGGCCCTGGGTCAAAGGTACCATGTCCTCCAGAACTGTTTCCCCACTGGCTTGTGCACAGGTTCCCAAGAGCAACAAAGTCTGATGCAATGGGCTCACACTTATTGTGGGAAACTGGGGCAGCACGAGAGGGAGATTTGGAAGGAAGGAGCCGGAAGTCCTGTTAATGTTGTTGGTTGACCGGGGAAGGACTCCTCGCTGCCCCCAGGGCTGCCCCTCGCCCTCGCTGCCAGCCTTTCAGTCATTTCTTGGCTCAGCAGCTTCCGTGCCTTCTGGAGGGTATGTGACAATTTGGTCAGTTTCCCAGATTCTCTGTGACCCATATAAAGTTTGGTTTAGGGGAAAGAATCTGCAGCCATAAATCTGAAATATTTCAAAAATTATCTGAGCTTCGAGTCCTCAGTGCCATGGCTCTGTTAAACGGGAATGGGTCTGAGTGTGGTGGGGCCTCCGAGTTTTGCAGGAATCACATTTTTGAAAGAAGGTGGTGCAGGGGGAGAACTGGGCATGTCTATTCATCGGACACATATCTTCTGGATTGAATTTGGTCCTTAGATTCGACCGCCAAGAATGGGGGAGTTGGGTTAAAAGATGCAATTAAAAACTATCATAGAGTAAGTTTAAAAAATTCTCATATTGTCTCCGTTTTCTCCTTTTGCGCAGCCGTATGCACTGAAACACAGGTATCGATTAGATTCCCAGAACGACCACCATAATCAGGATACAGTATAGTTCCATCATTCCCCAAAAAACTCCCTGTGCTGTCTCTTTACAGCCAAATCATGCCCTGACCTGTAACTCCCAGCAACCAGTGATCTGCTCTCCCTTGCGATGGTTTTGTATTTACGAGAGTGTGGCGTAAATGGAATCACACAGCGTGTCGTCTCTGGAGACTGGCTTCTTTCATTTCACGTAACCTCTGGAGTAGTTGCCTAAGTGCTCATGTGGAACAACAGTTTACTCCTTCTCAACCACAGAGGAGTGTTTATTTCCCTGAATGGACATACCAATGTTTATTTCACCCTTTACCTCCTAAAGCACATCGGGGTTGTTTCAGCTTTTGCTTATCACAAGCAGAGCTGTTCTACCCAGGTTTTTGTGTGAACAGGAGTTCTGAATTCTCGGGGGTATGTATGTAGGAGTGGAACTGCTCAGTTAGATGGGAAGTATATGCTTAACTTTGTAAGAAACTGCCCGTCCATTTTCCAGAGTGGCTCTGCCATTTTGCATTCCCACTGGGCATTCCCAGGCCACTCTGATAGGTCTCCAGTGGCATCTCACCCTGGATTTCATCTTAATTTCCCTAATGGCTGCTGTTGTTGAACATCTCTTAATGGGTTTATTTGTCATCCTTAATGTCCTCCCCGGTGAAGAGTCTGTTCAAGTCCTTTGCCCATTTTTGAGCGGTTTGTTTTCTTACTGCTGAGTTTGGAGCGCTCTTGTATAAAGATGCAATTTTATTGGGTGTTAAGAAGAGGTGAGAACAAAGGAGCCCAGATAAAGGGGACTAGGGAGAGGAAAAAGGAAAAAGAGAAACGGAACCAGAGCTGCCGATACGGTTTTATCCTCCTCCCACACTTAAGCTGAGAAATAACCGCACTTACCGCTTCATAATCTGCCAATTCCAGTCTTGCTTTGTTCTGCATTGTCCTCTTACAGAGATAGATGGCTGAGGGAAGAAGAGGAATTACATGTGCAAAACCGGCCGTGCTGTGGCGTCACAAATCTGTCCACCCATCTGTCCGTCTGCTCATCCAGCCAGCCCTCCCTGCGCCCAGTGCTGCGCAGTGCAGAAGATGCTTCTGCGATGCCTAACCTCCAGGAATCGTCCTGACACTCAGGATCGGAAGAGAACTCCATTGCCACGTCTTGACTGCTCCCTTTAGTCCTCCTCACTCTGTTTCACTGCAAGCATCCCCCACCAGGATCATCTTTGACATACATGATCATGTTCCCTTCCTGCCTCCACTCCCTGCCCTGCTTCCTCAGCAACCTCAGAGCAGGGTCGGGCTCCTTAGGGTGGCATGCTTGGTTCTTTAAGACCCAGTCTGCTTAGCTTGTCAACTTCTTCTTTCCCTGCCTCACTGGGCATGTGAGGTTCCCAGACCCCTTTCAGTTCCACGCTTCTGCCTATGTGTCTCTGCACAGGTCTTTCCACTTCCCTCTTCTTTTCCTCTCTCTGGCAACCTCCTCCTAATCTTGAAAGACCCAGCTCTGTGTTCCAGGTAGCATCTCCCTACCCTCACCCATGAAACTTGATTCCAGTGCACCGTAATTATGGGTTTACTAGACTGTCTCCAGCTCTAGGCTGAGGGCTCTTCAGGGGCAGGGGTTGTGTCCTACAAATCTTGAATCCCTACACCTAGCACCAGCACCGGCCCAGTGGAGTGGATGAACAGTGGAAAGGGTGGACAGCTTGGGTCTCTCTTCCCAGGCTAAGGAAGGGTTACTGGCCCTCAGTTCCAGAGGATTCTTTCCAAAGCCTGCTTTTATCACTTTCTCTCCTTGCCTCTGCTTCTTCAGTATCTCCCTCCTTCTCCAGGGTCAAGTCGAATGATCCAAGGAAGACAATAGATGAGCGGTACAAATGACCAATAGGATGAACAGGAGAGAAGGTCGGAGAGGACCTGTGGCTGACCTGTGGTTTGGCAACTTAGTTAAACTAGGAGATCTAGTCAGCTCCTTGCTGGATCAACCAACCTCCTCTATGCGATCTGGGAAACGTGCTCATGACAGCTTACAATACGCTGGGAGCTCGTGACTGGCAGCCTACTCTGGTGTGCTCATGCCCGTCGAGCTGTATGTGAGAGTGTCAGTTGTGTTTGTTCTCAGATCTGTTGATGTCAAGCATACCTGTTATTTTAATAATGCAAGTTCCCTCAATATGACATTTCACTGATGAAATTAATGTGAAAAGAGAGTTGTGGTTTCCAGGAAGACCCAGGTGAATGGTTCAGAACAACTTGGTAAAGAAGAGTTGGCCGACACAATTGCTCATGAGTTTGGTGGAAGGGAAATAACTGAGAAAATGGGGAGAAACAATAAAAATCTGAAAGTAGTCAACATGCAGGTTGTTTCAAAAGTGTGTTTGAATTCTTGATGCACTTTAAAGATGCCCACACTGGATGGTTTATCTTCAGTGTTTAGTTAAGAAAGAAACTCAAATTATTGGAGCCTGTAATCTAAGAGAGTCTTTGGTCCTATCTCAAAATGCTGTCAAATGATTGTTCCTTTGTATAGCTTATGTTGGTACAAAGTGATTACGGTACGAATGTATCTCTTCTGCATAATCCTCCACTTACAAGCCTTTGCAGAGAACCAGGCAGTCATAGCTCTCCATAATGTATGCCAAAGAGGCATCTGCTCTATTACAAGGTAACTTCTTCACTCTCTTGGACCACCATTTAGGCAGCCTATGGAATTGGGGGCCACTAAAGAGAAGCCTGTCACCAGCCCCGCTATGCTGGTCTCGTTGACCCAGGAGCAGAGCTGCTCAGTGGAGGTGAAAGCTACTTGGCTAATGCTGTTCCAAGCAGTGTTCTGTACTGGATAAATGGAAAATGCAGGAAAGTCCAACCCAGGTTGGGCTCTGGGCTTTACTGAAGCAGAATCAACCTGAGAAATTTTTAACCAGTCAGAATGGGTCAGAATGGGCTAGCTGGGTTAGAAAGTAAAATACCATGTCCAGAATGCAAAGTTGGCACCATTCCTGGTGGCCATGAGCTACTTGGTCACGTGCTTTCAGCTTGCTTTCCCCATGGCTAATGTCACATGTGAGGGAGCCTGCTCACTGCAACCAGTGAGGTAGGGTGTGGCTGTTGAATCGACCTTTTCTTGATATAGATTTTGGGGCTTGTCTCTGCCACTGTAGTACTTTCAATGGTGGTTGCTCTAATACCTAACCAATCAAATGACCATTGGCAATGGCAGCCAGCCCTATTACAAGGCATCTGGGGGATGTGCTATAAGCTCAGAGGTTGGTTTTTCTTTGATATTTAAGTTCTTATTGTTAAATCTTTGTCTCCTTGCCCTCACACCTGGCAGTCTTACCTCCTGGCATCTCACTTGGATGACCCACTGCCATCTCAAGCTTGCCACATCTCACCATGATAAAATAAGAAAACATTAAAAACCGTATGAAGCGAATGGATTCATATGCTACACATGCAATTAAATAATAAGAAACTATTGACTTCGTCCTATTTCGATATACTTAAAGAACTGATTCCCTTCCCAAACTTTGTCTTCATGAGTGACATATTTACCTCAATCTCTTAAATCAGGGACCCTGTATAACATGTATTTCTCTATGTTCCTCATACCCTCAGATCACTTTGTAGTACAATGGGATTTTAGCCTTGGAAGTAACTTTGGTGACCATCAAGCACAGGCCCCTCGTTGCCAGATGGGAAAACCAAAGGCCCAGAGAGGTGAAGGGATTTACCCACAAGCCAGGTGGCGCTGGAGGTGGAATGAGAACTGATGGCTGCTTCGGAGTTTTTTTCATAATGACATTCGTTGCTCATTCATTTATTCATTTGTCCACACATTTAAATATTTAGCGAGGGCCCCTTGTGTGCCAAGCACTGTTATTATGGTGCTGAGGCATCACCATAATAGCCTCTACCACCTGTACGAAGCTCACTGATATCAGATGCTGTTCTAGAGACTTTCCAAATGTTCACTTATGTCCCCATAATAACCTATGAGGTGGGTTCTGTGATTATCCTCATTTTACAGCCGAGGGACGTTTTTCAGGTCATTCCCCATTGTTGAGACTCCCTAGCGCTGCTACCTCCATTCTCAATGTCTCTCCTTGACGCCGACGGCTTTTTGATAAACCTGCCCCTCTCAAATGATTTGACCTTCTCAGTCATTCCTCATCGACATGAAACCTCTGAATACTCAGGTTGGCCTCCTCACCACCCTCTTCCTCCCCATCAGGCTGCCTCCTCCGACCTGGAATGTTTGGATGGTAAGGCTGTGATTTATTCAAATCTGTGCCCTAGCATCTGACACACAGAGTAGTTGATCAGTAAAGGTTTGTTGAATGAGCAAAAGTTTTTGGTTCTTTATCAGTCCGAGTCACACCTATTCTGATTTCTCACTTTGCTTTCACCTCCTCTCTGCAAGAGGGCCACCATGGGACGCACACTGTCGAACACGACCTTAGTCATAAGAATACTAACCACCACCACGGTTTCTACTGAATCCTTGCTATAGGTCACACACCAAACCTTATAAGCATTGCATTTCATCGTAACAAAACAACACTAGGAAGCAAGGGCAATTATTATTATTCTGATCTGCACATGAAGTTTTTGAGGCACAGAGAGGTTAAGTAACTTGCCAAGATCACACAGCCAGTAAAGTTAGTTGATCTTGGAGCCGCTGCCCTAACTTCTCTTTTGGTAAATACTTTGATTTTCGGACTGAACTGCTTTGGAAGTACTGGTGAGTACTTTGGATCCGTACTTTGACTTCTCCACCTGATTTACCCAAGTCAAGGCATAGGAAGTCAAAATAATTTTGTTTTAATGAGAGCCTGATATAAATTGTTATTTCTAGCCTTGTTCATGCTGCACATAAAATCATGATGTGGAGAAGCTCTGTAGGGACTAATGGCCTGGTGTATGCAGTACCCAACAGCTGAAGCTTGTGGATTCATATTTAGGTGGGTATTGTCATCTCACTAGGGTCTAGTTATCTGGTCCTGCCATGTTCTCCCCCTGCCCCTTCACTGCCTGTAAGGATATTGGTTTTTAGATTCACCAGGGCACACAGCTGCTGCATGGATCTGAGCTACAATGACTCAAATTTCCAATTGGGCTTTCGCGAGCAGTATTCCAGCCGCCGAAGAACTTGTTTTGTGACAAGCCAAATGTAGCTCTGGTTTTCCGTTGGAAGCCTTGCCTCTCGAGTTATCACAGCCCAGTTCCAGAGGGACCCAGAGTGGTGCCTGCAGACAGCCGTGAGGTCCATCAGAAGGCCTCCCCCACCACCCACGTAAGGACCATCCTTCAGACTTGAAAACAAAAGAACTGTGGGATTGGTGGGCAATGACTTGTCCGCACCCCACCCTTGGTTTTGCTCCTACCTGCTGGCTGGGGTTGGGAGGGAGCCAGTCTAGTGCACCGCCAGGTCTCCTGGACAGGCTTCCCTGAACACTGCCCAGCTGCACATCTCCCCCCCAGTCTCTGCAGCTGCCTCTGCCTTCCTGAGCAAGCCATCCTGCAAAGAACCTAGAGAGAAGCTCTGGGTCTCACCAAGTACTCCCGTCCCAAGGAGAGCCACTGTGGATTGCCTTAGCAGCCAAGTCAGTGACAAGGACACTGTGTAAAGGGACAGACCACGAAAGAAGCATTGGCCCGGAAGACTCTCGGATCTGAGTTCCAATATTGATGCTTCTATGGAGTGTCTGTCAATCACCTTTAATAAAGAATCAGGACTGTCTGCAACTATTTACTGAGTTCCAACCATGCCTCGGCCCTGCACGGGGCACTGGGGAACGTGAGAGTGAACAGGTAGGACCAGTCCCTGAGCTTATGACTGAGCATCTAGATAAAGAGAACGCAAGGTGAAAAGTGCGGGCCTGTGGCCTCTCTGAGGCTCAGGTTCTTTATCTGGAGCATGGGGACAATATAGCTTCTTTATCTGGAGCATGGGGTTCTTTATCTGGAGCATGGGGACAATATAGCTTCTTCAGAGGAAGTCTCATAGAGAGTATATGGCCAGAGTCTAACGGATCCCTGCCTACTCCCTTCTTGCCAAGCTCCCGACTCCATCCACTCTTATTTTCCTTGACCAGCGTGCCTTTGGTACATTCCTCCCTGGTCTGTCTCCCTTTCCCACTAGCGTCTAACTATCAAACTGCCAGTGAATTATTAATAAGTCTTGACAAGATGGTGAGAATGGAAAGAACTAGGGGTTGGTGGCCCCTGGATCCAGCCGTCCCTGAAACCCTGCTCCAGAAAGGACTGGTCAGAAGCTGTTGTCTTGGCTCTCCATGACTCCACAGCTTGATAGAACTTTTCTTCCCTTCCCCCATTCCCTTCCAAAGGCTTCACCTTTCAGTGTGCTCTGCCTTTCTTCATTATGTGGAACAGGGAGCTTATTACGTGTCAACGGTATGAAAAGGATTAAGCAGGAAAACGACCCCTCCTCCCTGCGCGGCCGTCACCCAGACACCAGGCATTTGTCTTCCACACTCCCAAGAGTGACGCTTCTTTACTGCTCACCGTAGTCGGTGTTTTCAGGCTCCCAGCAGTTGGAAGGCCAAAAGTACGGGGCCTGCAAAAGAGCACAGGTGTCAGGACTCAGAAGAATGCTGGCACCTGCTCTCCTCTGTCCAGAGGCAGGGTCCACCTTCTCCAGCACCCAGTGAGGACCCCCCCCACCCCGGGACATGCTCTGCCCTGTCTCTTTTGTGCTGACACCGCATCCCCAACTTTCTCCTGTTCTTAATTCAGTTGAGGCTGTCAACATGCTAACCCAGGTATTGAGAAACGAAAGCCAAGGTGAGCAAAATAAATGCAAAAATGAGAAACTTAGTTTAGAGGGCAAACATATCTTATCCCAAGACAAGAGAAGTCAGACCGGCACAGTTTACTGGGCACACAAGCTCCAAGTTCCTTTTATCCCTTTGAATTGTGTGCCCCTAAAACTGATATGTGGAAGCCCTAGCCCACAGGGTGGCTGTATTTGGAGTAAGGAAGTAATTAAAGTTAAAAGAGGTCACAAGGGTGGGGCCCTGATCCTATAGGATTAGTGCCCTTAAGAGAGGAACTGCCAGAGAGCTTGCTTTCTCTCTGTCTCTGCTATATGAGGAGGATAGTGAGAAGCGGCTGTCAGAAAGCCCGAATGACAGCTCTCACCACAGACTTAACCTGCTGGAAATTTGACCCTGGGCACCTGGCCTGCAGAACGGTGGGAAATAAATTTCTGTTGTTTAAGCCCCCCGGTCTGTGCTATTTTGCTATAGTAGCCAGAGCAGACTGCGATACCCTTTGACTCTGAAAAACTCCACTCCAAACCCCTTGGTGTTGACTTTGAAACAGCCCCTTATCATCTGCCCCATTTCCCTCTAGGACAGGATCTGAGAAAAGGAGAGGAAAATGGGTGGGAGGGGTTAGGCAGTAGATAGAAACTTCACACCAGGAAGGCAGCATGACAGAGCAGAAAGATCAAGGACTTTGTCCTGAGGCTGACCCATGCTCAAAGCAAGGCCACCTCCCAGATTTACTAAACCTCAGAGCGCCTCAGTGTTCTCATCTGTCAAATGGGTAATATTTACCTCTCAATATTTGTTCTTCAGAATGAATGGGGAAATATGTGGAAACCCCACCCCCCCAACAACAAATGGCCCAAATAAAAGCTTGTTTGGCCTTCCCAGTGCTAGGGGGAGGTCAGGGTTACTCCCTTAAATACCCTTGGTTTTGCAGGTCATTCTAAACTGAGATCAGATGATAAGAGACAGTTCTTCAGAGCAAGGGGCTGGCAGGCCTACCTGGAAACGGTAAAAGGTGCCATCATCCTTCATGGTGAGAACGTGGTCTGAGATCGGAAAGATGTAGCCCTGGGCAGCTATAAGGCTTCCCAAGTGTATTGCTTCAACTGCTTGGACAGGACAGGAGAGAGAGAGAGAGAGGAGTATTAAGCAAGCCGTCAGAGTGCAGGGCTCCTTACCTGGAATGTAAGTCAGGAGCAACCGGAAGTCAACTGTCCTCACCCTCAGATAACTGCATGATTGACTGATTGATAACTTTTGATATCAATGCACTGGTCTGGATGGGGTGGGTGTCATGGTTGGGAAAGGCCAACATGGGTCTGGGTCTCATCTGGATGCCAGCTCTGAGAGACTGACATTGCTTGACTTCCCCCAAGACCTCCAGAAGAAAGTAGCTTCATGGTGAAGAGCAGGGCTCTGGCACATAGTCACCTGTCCTCAATCAAGTGGGATGTTTCAGGTAAGTGCTTAGCAGGGCCTGGAGCTCAGTCGGTGCGGGCAGCCCAGATTCATGCTGCTACTTTCATCATTTTTATCATCCCCAGCAGTGAGCATGCAGCCTCACTGCCCAGAGAGACTCTGGACTCCCGTGGCATTCCCCAATATGACAGTCCCACCAGAGAAGAGGAGAGCATTTCTGTTCTCTTATGGACACAGAGTAAAACCTCACTTTCTTAGAAAATTGGAGGAAGGGCACTGCAGTGGGGAGTGGCAAAGGGAGGCCGACCTGACAGAAATATGCCCATTTTTGCCACAATCAACCCATTGTTTTGTGACTTAGTGTCAGCCCTAAGTAGATCCACGTAGTTAAGAATTTATATTTATTCTGAGGAGAGCTAAGGAAAAAAATAACAAATCTAAATGGTTCTACCATGCATGATAATCCTCCACAAATATAAAAGCACTCTTACTGGTAAAAACTTAATTTTTGGATGGGGAAATTATTGCTATGCCTAAGGAATCTAAGGAATTATTAATTTTGTAAGCTCTGAATTTTTTAAAGCAACTTGTTTTGTCTTTACTCACAAACATCTCAAGAGGTTGGATATAATCCAAGTGTTTTGCTTATTTAGAATCACCTATCCTTTGGAAATAACTGGTGGAATCAGAACGAAGTTGTATCTTATTTGCTTAGTGATGCCCAGTGTGCTTTTTAAAGTCTACATGCTTCAAGAATCATGGGTCCAGCAAAAAGAAGAATTTCGTTCCTGGCAGCTGCTCCTTCCCCAGGGAAGAGAGAACAACATCCAGTAAGAAGGTGACTTCCATGTCGCCACTGTAGGAGCAAGAACTCTCCATCCTCTGTGGTTTTGCTTAGATATATGGCAGATGGGGAGTAAGATGGGGGGGGGGTGCAGATATTGGATGAACCTGGCTTCCCAGGGCCTTGATTTGCCTCATTTCCACTCTTCTATTCCCAGCTGGTGAATTATTAACTCCTTATCCATTTCTCAGAAGCCCAAACAGTTCCCAATACCTTGACGTGCTCCCAAGGCCATTCGAGTATGAGACCTTCACAGATATGAGCCTTATTATTCACGACCTTTCAGGGAAGCTTCTCATAAGAGGGCGGGAGGCCTCCTGAAGCCTATTCCCCCGCCCCCAGATGGCTCCGGGCTCTCGCAATACTGCTACTGATACTAATAATCATAATAAAGTATGTGTCAGAAATACAAGGGTTATTGTGGAAAGGGAAAAGAGACTGTTGCTGGAAGAGAAGCACCGTGAAGAAAGGTGGTCCTTAGCATTATAAATGCTAAATGCAAAGAAACATTGACTTTAAATACATGGAACTAAACCAGTAGAAATGTATTTCATCCAGTGGACAATGACAAAGCCAGGCTGCATGAGGGAAACATGGGTCATAGTTAATTTGAGTTCTTTCCTTAAAAGGATTTGAATTTAGTTTCCCCCTATGGATTAAGAGCTTGACTAGAATTAAGAATTTTCACTAGTGATGGAAGTGGCCATTAATCATGATGGTGAAAAAGGCTAGTGTCACTTCCATCAGTGACCTGCTTTTGTGGCATTCAGATTTCTGGCAACTATATTTCATTGAACTCCATGTAAATTGCATTGTTTAATAACCAATAGTATATTAAGGGTATTAGATTAAAATAGAGGAATTCTGGAGGTGACACAGTGACTGCCAGAAAGGAATCACAGACATCTAGAAAGGGCATTAAAAAAAAATCTTTAGAAAGCTTAGCCATTGGAAGCCATTTAATTTGGGACAGAGAGGTCTAATCCCCAAGAACACAAGAATACATTAATGGATATTTATAAATATGACCTTTGGGCATTGAAGATACTCAGTTAAAACAGGAAGTATATAATAAATTCTGAAAAGTATTAACTGACACATGGATAGTAAGTTTCACTTATCTGCAATTTTTATTTTTCTGAAACTCCTCATTTTCTAATTATGCTGTGAAAATAAATTTTGCTACTTATTTTCTGGTGGGAGGACAGATTTGGAAACTGTTTTATTGGCCAGAGTTTTGTTGTTGTTTTTCTGGTAAGATTTTCTTAACTGAAATGCACAATTAAGGTTGAAAAAAAAAATCATTCTTTTACTTCTTGCGGAAGCAGAAAACAGAAGGAATCTCAGCAAATAATTAAACATCTTAATCGTGGATCAGGCAATCTAATTTTAAGAGCTGGTTCTAGAAGGCTGTTTCATGATAGCTCTACAACTTATCTTTAATTGCTGTGGCTAACGAGAATTCATCTCATTTCACACGTTATTGTATTGGGCTCTTTGGCACTCTAAATAATTGCTCATTTCCTCAAAGGGTGATTTAGATTTAAAGATAGATATTCAGTTGAGAAAAGAAATTAATTTTATTTGCAAATAGAGTGATTCCAACTTGGGATTCACATTTATAAACCCAGTTCTCGGGAAGCTAGCAAATCTGGTCTGGAACTTGTTTATGGGATGTTTCTCAGTGCCATGGAGGATAAAGTCAGGGTCAAGTACCTGGGTCCTCGATGGAAAGGTTCTTCATAAGCCACTGTACAATGTCAGTACCTGAAACGATAAAGAAATTTGAACTGAAGACATCATGGATGCTTGCCCTGTGGCGGAAGAAACATGTTTATCTAAGGAAGTCCTAATTCCAACTAGCACACACCCAGAGAGCTGGGTAATATTGACAATTTTCCATCCTAACTAAACACTTCTATCCATTAGGACACTTGCATAGTCATCGTCCTATTTGTTTCCAAAAAAAAAAAAAATCCTTTTCCAATGACTCAGGATGATCTTGCATCCACACTTCTAGGGAATATCTACAGGAGACTTCCTGCAAATACAGATATTGATGACTTCCCCGAGACAGGCTTGGTGAATTTTTACCACACCTGGCTCCCAGGACATTTCCTGAGGGAGGAGGCCTCTTCAGCTCCCTACCCTGACAAGGGCCGACCAACATAGCTGCCCTTACATGTTCCTAAAACAACAACAACAACAACAACAACAACCACCACCAAAACTCTTTTTTTTTGTTTTTCTGGCATGGACCTATTTTAAAAGAAAATGCCCCTGTTCCTGGGGGAGAAACTTCTTTGTGTTCACCAAAACCTATTTCCCCTATGTTTTGGGTCACTAGATCACATTTCGAGACTCGTCTGCCGTTGGGTATAGACTGAGTTCTTACAATGGAATATGGCTAGCGGTGATGTATACCACTTCTAGGCTTGGACCATAAAAACTCCCACATGACCCCACACAGCCTTCATTCCCATTCTGCTGGCTGAATGGAGAGAGCCCCAAGAACCCAGGGGAGGGCAGAGCCGCAATGCGGAAGGAGCCTGGGATCCTGAACAACCATGAAAACTGATGCCCGTTTTGGGCTCTGACTTGATTGAACAGTAAACTCTGTTGTGTTAAGCCCCAGAAGTTGGGATTTACCTGTTTTGATATTGAGTACTACCTTAACTAATATAACATTCTAAGAGTTGGAAAGGACTTTTAAAGCTTATCTAGATACTCCAACCCTAGCCAATACCGGAACCACATCTCTAATACCCTGGACAGGAAGTGCCACAATCTTGCCGGGAAAAACCCTAGTACCTGGGAATCACAGATTCCCCCCTAGGCAGCCTGGCCCAGTTAAATCACCTTTGATTTCTCTGAACAGAAATGTGACCCTTTCTGAATTCCTCTCTTTGGACTTAGTTTTGCCCTCTGATGACAGAAAAACAAATCCAGACCTTCTTGCTCTGGAGAAAGTCTGTCCGATACACTATCAACATTCTTCCTGAGTTTTCCCCCCTTGAGATGAAACATGCCTGGGTCCCTCAGCTATTTCCTCCCATGACATGACTTAGAGCCCCTCCCATTTTGGTCATAGGTCTCTGAATATGTTTCCTTTTGTTTGCCTCCCTTTGAAGATGTCACACCTGGAGCCAACGGGGGAGTAGAGGAGTTCAAATTTCTGGAAAGTTCTGAACTTCCGGTTAATTCACCTTTGTCTCTCAACCATTGCACTTGGAACTAGTGCAGATCTTCAAATGTGGCTTTGTCACCTCAGGATGGAATGTATGATGGAAAGCAGCCTGAAAAGGGCAACCTTTCTAGATGTCTGAATCCTGTCATGTGTGGGTCTGAGGGTTGGTGTGAGAGACAAGGTCTCCCCATAGCTTTCCTGGAACAGAGTCCTAACTGAAAACCTTTAGTGAGCGTTGCCCTTTTCCCAGAAATAAAGTTTCCCAGACACTTGACTGGTTTCCAGAGGTGAGAGCAGCACAGGCCTGTTTCTCTCCAGCTCTCTGGAGGGGGAATGAACTTTGTGCAGTAGACAACCATCCTGTGTGACCAGCGTCCATTGACACAGCCCTGCAAGTTCCCCCCATTTCAACCTCCGAAGCAGAACCTGTAAGCTTTTCCCCACTCTTGCTCCCGGATGCCATCTATGAGCTAAACTTTGGATCAAAAACCCTCCTACTCATTCACATTCTTTGAGCGAAAGGAGAGTATGTCTGTGTGTGCTGGTGTGTGTGTGTGTGTCCATCTCCTCCGAATTATACAAGTTCAACATTTGTCCTAGGAAATGAAGAACAAAGCAGAAATCAAATAAGAACTGTAATCCCAAGTTGGGGGTGGGGGAGAGACTCTAACCTGTTTTTTCCTCAAAAGAAAAATAGTTCTTTTTTGTGGGTTGCCTGGAAACGGATAGGTTTCCAGCATCAGCAACAGCTCTCCCCCGGGCAGGCGGATTATCTTTCTGCTGAGCTTGCTGAACCATTATTTATCACCTGCCAAGATTGATTACTCACCCTGGGACAATGACAGCCCTTCCTTTCCCCTGTTAATTACTGTCATCATTAATATCCATGTCACTAATTAGTATTCATTCACATTGAAACTCCTTCCTTGCTATCATATCCGTTCCCCCCTCCACCCCGCCCGAGACTTCAGCACCATTGTCTAGATTTCTACCCCCTTTTGGTTTTTTGCACTCCGTGTTTGGCCTAATTGCTCTCCCCAGTCCACCAGGCCCTGGTTTGCATTCACAGAGCTGAAGGATCACATTTAAGACCTCCTCCCCCTACCTCTTTTTTTTGGTCAAGAAGGGAAAGTCACAAAAGCCTCTTGCCTTTTTACCTAGTGATGTGGGGACCACAGACCTGGATTTCTTGTCCCTGATGCGACCACTGCAACACTCAGGGTCTTCATCTGGGGACGGGTGTGAGTGTCCTCGAGCCCCAATGAGGGCCGAGCCAGATGCCCTGGCCATCCTGGGTCACTGCCCTCAGTCTGCAGCCGTCATCACCTCCCCGCTGTCCCACACCCACCGTGGGCCTGCAGGGTGGATGTCAGCAAACACAACAACACCTCTTGTGGTGGACATTCTTGTTCTCCTGGGTGTGGGGTATTTCAGGCTTAACCCAGGAGGGGCCAGCCTCCAGCCTCGTGGCAGGAAGTAAATGTTGTATGTTCAGCCCCAGGAACAAGTAAGGGAGGGAAATCTATCATAATATTATGTCCTTTAAAAGACCTACAATTATTACATTGCCAAATCAGGCGAGAATAGTGCAACCAATGACCAGCAGAAAGCATTTTTCTTCTTTTTTTCTCTTTCCTTTCTTCCTTTTTTCCCCCTCTGGCCCCCAATCATTCCTTCTCTCCTATTTTAAAAAGAATTTGAAGCAGATTATTTTTCTGTTCTCTCTCAAATGAATTGTTGCCCTTTGTTACCAATTATCTTATCTGAGTCAAGCTGCCCTGCTCAGGACTTAAAATCAGTATAGAAACATTGGGGACATTATGGACATTGGGGAGGGTATGTGCTATGGTGAGCACTGTGAATTGTGCAAGACTGATGATTCACAGACCTGTACCCCTCCCATATCATATAATATGATACATTATACGTTACTAAAAAAAGAAAAGAAAAGAAAAGAAAGAAACACTAGGGACAAATGCAGAATAGCTATCCTTTATCCCCAGAGGGTCTAAAAACACTTGTCTGAAAGTTTTCTTTTTGAGGCTAATATATCCACATATACTCCAGGGATATCCATGAACTATACCAGAGGGCGCCTGAAACTCCTCCCAAGCACGCGTGGTTCGTTATACATTAAGGTACACTTTCTGTTTCCATATGTGTTGTATGTACATATTCCCATTGTGTCTCTACATGTAAGTGTGTCTCTGGGCAGGTTGTTTGGACACAACTCAGAAGTTCTCAAGTAGGGGACTGAATAATTAATTATGGCTCATCTGTACAATATTTGTAAAATATTTAAATATATGTATATATAATACCTACTGTATTAAACGAAAAAGTAGATCAAGCACAGCATGTATTGTAAAATGACATTTAAAAAATTTTAAGTGACATTTTTACAGTAGGAAACACATATTTACATTTGTATTGCATTAATTACGTATGTATAGGTATGGACAGGTACTGGGAATAAAAGTTCTGGAAGAATATTTGCACTGTTGAAGTGATCTTGGAGAGGTGGGAGGGTCAAATTATGGGAAGTTTCTATTCTTCCTATGCCCTTATTATTTGGAGCTCAAGAATATTAATATGTTGTTCTTGAGAACACATGTTGTATTTGAGAAAAACGCTTTTCGCTCTTAAGAGCAGAGAGGGGTGCCCAGGCCTCGGAGACTGCTGTGGACAGGCTGTGGGGAGCCAGGTTGCAGACACACAGTGGAGAGAGTGAGGGGAACCCTTGGCTGTTGGTCCTGGGCCCTGGGCATGTCCTGCTTCCCAGGGAAAGAGCAGAGAGGAATGAAGGCATGACTCCCAAAGCTGCCTTTTCCCTGAGGAGTAAAGAGTGGGAGACTCACTCCTAAGCCTCAAGTTGTCACTCTCTCTGGCCATTGGGTCAGCTCTGGAGCCTTGTGTAGACGTTAACGGGGCTGCTCACCATAGTCCTGGACTAAGGGTGACTATCTGCATCCCTCGATATAAACTGGATTTGAGTAAGCTGGTAAGATCTTCTCATACTTTAGGGAGTTCTCTTTCTGGTTTGGGGGAGACCCTTACTATCCTGTCCTCAGGTGTTTTAAGTAACCCCCTCCCCAAAGATTAAGGGATACCTGGAACTTCCAGGTACAAATAAGTTACAACCTAAGGGCCTCCTCCCCTGAAATACTTTCCCCATTCTCTCCAAAGTATTATATCAACCTGAGCCAAAATCTGATTATGTAAACTTGAGAAAAGACCAGTTGGAGGCCCCTGTAAATTTCAAGTCATGCGCAACTTGGTAGCTTATAAATCAGAGTTCTGGTAATTGAAGCAATGGAGAATTTACTTGTCAATCCTCACCACTGGGGAAAGACACCTTCACTTGAGTGAACTCTTTCTGGAGCCCAACAAAACTCAAGATTGTTCCTGCCATGAGTGACCTTCTGGTACTCCTCAGTCAAGGTTATGATCCAGGCCACCCTGGGCTTCTCACATATCTGCCAAGGTCTCTGCTGTACCTGTGGGTGAAGAGGGAAGCTTTGTGCCACTTATCACATGGGTGCCCTGTGCAGGCCAGTACTCATGAAGGAGGGAGACATTC